TAGTCTTACTCCTCGTTAGTGGTAGATTTCCTGTCTGTTTATTGCTGGTTCGAGTTACCCCAGTAAAAATGAGTAATGTCATCGATGATGTTTCACATCACACTGTGTATCAACTCCCATAGGACTTTCAAAACACTTCCAGGCTCTTTCCACCAGCTTTACTGGCATTTGCAGCACGTGCTTTAACAGTGAACACACTGGCAAGATAGAAATTTTTCTTTCCTGCTTGAAAAATTTCTCATTAGACCCTGCAGAAGACCATGACAAGTTTTGATGCACCATTTACCCTCAGGTTACCTGATAATCTGAAAGAATGGTGTACCCAGAGCCTCTGTGCTCCTTTTGAGTAATTCCTGGCTTTGGACTTTGCCTGAAGTTAATAATTTTCCTGTCACACAAAGGCAAACCAGCACTTTTATTTCTCTCCATCAGGCACTAACAGGGCTGCGGAAGAGATGACAGTCTCGCATAGCTCCTCTGGGGTTTGTCCACACTGAGTTCTGTTTCTAGTGAATGGTTTTCAGATAATTTTAATAAACCCAAAGAAAGAGTACCCAAATGCCCTCAACTCCACTGCCTTTGTGACATGCAGCAATTTGTTTCTGCTGTAAATGTGAAGCCAACAACTGCTGACTCCTTACAGAGCAGTCTGGCTAAATAACTCTTTGTCACTGCTGGAGTGTCTTTTCCTGGGAAAGCTGTGCTGCAGGTCTCAGAGAATCGATTCAGAAACCATTTTCTTCTCAAGCTTTCTCAGCACTGGAGGTGCAATATCCCATGGCAAAGGATCAGTCCCAAATGACTGATCTTATTGTAGAGAGGGTCCTTGGTTATTGCTCCGGTACACAGCTGACAGAGCTGCCTTTATGGGATGTTGGGAGAGCATATTCATCCATGCCTTTGTATGGATTGTTCCTCATGAGCACCTTCAGAAGGCACCCTGAAACAGCAAGTGGGTGTAGGAATAGAGGCAATTACTGATCCTGACTTAGGCTTTCCACTCAAAAGCAGTAACCCTACATTGCAGGCAGGAAGCAAGCAGAATTCCTGGTCTCTCCAGGCAAAGGAAAATATCTTCACTCCTGAAGGCAGTTTTTGAAAGGAATAGAGAGGCTAAATCCGTTGAGACAAAGGAGAATGTTCTGTCACTAAATGCACTTGGTGATCCTGCAGTGGTTCGAAGCTGCATTTCAGACTTTCCCCAGCCGATGGCATCACAAAATTGCCAGACTGCTAGAAGTGCTGGTGGCAGGCAGCACCACGTCCTGCTCCAGCTTCCAGGAGGAAACAGCTGCTGGTCCTCTGCACAGCACAGTCCTCTGGAGCCTTCACACCTCATCAGCCCTTGCTTTCTGACCACACCTGCTGACTGACCTCTACCACCTCCTCAGAGCACACAAGCATCAAGGGCATCAAAGAGCCAAGGAAAATCAGTGCAGTTTGGACTAGCTCAGGCCCCACAGGTATTAAACTCATCATCATCCTTCCACACAGTGTCTGACTGCAAGCCACTGGGAGGAAGTGTGGAGGAACCAGTTGTTTCTTCTGAGACTCATAAAACCCAGAGGCAGAACAGATCCTGTTGTTGGGTATTTGCATGCTTGGAATGGAGAGTGGAGGAGAAAGGCTTCCCATTACAGCTGAGAGAGCCTTCTGGGCACTATCTCTGGGAAGAGGTACAATATAAAGGCATTTTAATCTCTCTCCAGGCTCATGATTCTGGCTGCCACCTCCTTTGGCCAGAAAGCCTAGCAAAGTGCCCCTTTGTGCAAGGTCTGACACGGACTGGACTTGTCTCTGGCAGGCCTGGGGAGCAGGGCCAGCTCTGGCTTTGCTGCTCAGAAATTCCCAAGCACTTCACTGCAGCAGGAAGACTTAGGCTAGCCCTGCCCCTTGCACATGCCATCCTGCAGCATTCCAAGGGTTTACAACTCTGGGATGACACTTCTCCCTTTAGATAGCACAACATTTGATGCTGTGTGCTGGCACATTGCTTCTGCTGACAGAAATTTAATAGTCTTGATCTGTCCTTGGTGCCACCTGCACTACACACCCTGGTAAAACAAAGCAGGAATCTGTGCTCACTCCTGAGCATGGATGAGGTTTTCCCTGCAGCACTGTTGTCTGACACGGCTCATCATCTTCCTGCTGCTTTGATTTCAGAAATCAAGCTGCAGGTGTCCCACACTGATCTCTTCTCCTCAGGTTTGGGTTCTGATCATTCTTTCCTGTTCATAAATACATCCTTTATTCTTACTAGAGCTGCAGAATCAAAGATACTGCACAGAGATGCTGGTGAAATACTTGGCAAAACCTATTTAGCTTAGAGCTAAAGAAGAGTTTTATTGCAGGACCCTGAGGAGAGTTACTTCTGTTTCACCCTGAGGAACTGTGTCCTGTCCCTGATCAGTATTTGTGCTTACAAGCACTCTTTGCTGTCTGAAGCCCAAGCTTAAAGGCTCCCAGTGGTAACTCCTCTTTTACCAGTCCTTTCCACATCAGAGATGTCACATGAAGTCCCTTGATCTGCCCAGAATTGGCCTTCCAACCACCAGATCCGCTTTCTATGGATAAAGAGCATTTCTGGGTTAAAAAACTTAGATTTAGGGGGGGAAAACCCAACTGATTTCAAAAAAAGGGGAACATTATCCTGACTAAATCCTGCAATATTGACAGATACAAATTATATCCACTGCCAATGTGAAAATATTTTTATGAGCTCTGATTACAAGGGAAGCTACGTACACTGTGAGTGTTCATCTTTTTATGCTCTCTAAAAGGCTTAATTAAAAAGCCTGAGCTCTGAAGACCATTATTACAGGAAAGCAATACATAAACCTATCCTGAAAACTCATATTTCTGTTTCTCTTAAGTATTGCTTGGTCTTCAAGGAAGAGCCAGAGTTAGGACATGTTCCTTGGGCAGCCAGGCCTGCAGTGCTGCCATTGTTCCTGCTCTTCAGCATCCTCTGCATGATTTCCTAAGCCTTCTGCCGGTGCCTTGGCACTTCCCCAACTCGGACAACAGGCAGAAAAAGGGGAGCTGGATGCAGTCCGTCATCCCTGAGAGCACTGTGCTCCCCGGCAGAGCTCCTCGAGGAGAGGCAAGGGCAGTGAGGCTGTGCACTAGAGAGGAGCTCAGCAGAAGGTCCTCAACCAGCTCCCTGCTTTGGTGCTGGTCCTGGGGCTCCTTGGGAACAGCTCTGCCACTCTCCCTGTGGTGACATTGCTGCAGCTAATGATGGAGGTGTAGCTGTGATGGCAGCAGGGACTGTGTGGGAATGTTGCAGTATGAAGGAGATACATCCTGAGTTTCTGATCTTGTTCTTTCACGGCCTTTACTGAGGCAAACTGCCTATAAAAGCAGAGGAACACCTGAGAATGGCCAGGTCAGAGCTCTCTTAGCAGGCACCAAGGCTCGTACTTCTGAAGACCACAGAGAGGATTTTGGCAGCTGAAATGTAACTAACTTCTCTCAATTAAAATCCTTTGTAGATATCACCATAGCAACCTCTGTCTGTAATGAGCTTCACATATTTGTGTGGCTGCTTGATTCACCCCTTGCTGATACAGAAGCATGAACTCTCCCTTGTTATTCCTTTGCTCCCCAACTCATGCTGTGTGAGCTTTCCTCTTGGCTAGTCCTGTAGTGAACAGAGCAGCTCCTGTGGGCAGGGAAGCGCTGGAGTCAGGGTCTGTTTCCCAGTCTCCTACCCGTGCCTGGCTCAGCCCCCTGGCTGGAATGCCTCTGGCTAGGAAAGTCCTTTGGGCACTGAGTACTAAACAATACTGGAGGAAAACTCTAGCACTGAAAGATCCATGTGGCAGCTGGGACTGTGGAGGAAGAGAACTGAAATTAGGGCACTCTGTGCAGCTGAGAAAGAGACTTACTTTTTTGAAACTGAAATATCACTTTCTGTTGAAGTCTGAGAATGGGCTTGAAAAATTGTAATTGTCATAGCAAACAGAGTTCAGGTGAAGTGTCAGGCACTAGTTCTAGACCCTGCTCACTGAGCCATGCAAGCCCTAACGCAGTGAGCTTAGGAGGAAAAGAGCTAACTGCCTTCCCAGCCTGTGGAAAGGGGTGGAAACCTGTCATCTCCCAGATGTGGATGCTTTAGTTCTGTAACTCCATTTCTCTCCCTCCAGGCCAACCCTTGGGCCCTCGCCGGCTCAGCCTACGGCCGGTTCCCACGCTGCCGGACGCGGACGCGTTCCTCCGTGACGCTCTCATGAAGGTGAGGAGACGGGCCCAGGGATGCCTGGCCCCAGAGCTGTGTCTCCAGGCTGTCAGGGCTGCCATGGAGAGACCTTTTGCCGAGGGAGTGCGCCGGGAGCGAGAGCTGTTCCAGGTGCTGCTGACCTCAGGCCAGGCCCGCGCACTGCAGTACGCGTTCTTCGCGGAGAGAGCCACGCAGAGGTGGACAACACCCACAGGAGCCTCGTGGAGTGGTGCAGCCCCACAGCCCATCTGCCAGGCAGCCGTCATAGGTAAGGGGGAAACAGCAGCTGCAGCTCTGCCCACAGCTAACAGCAGGGCTGGGGTGGCTGCAGTCAGGTCTGCCCATGGCAGAGGGATGGAGGGGATTGCCCAAGAGTCACTTGCACCCACCACAGGCAGAGACACTCCACCTGCACTGGAGGGAAGTTGTCACCACGGTGGTAAGCTCAGAAGTTCAGCTGGCAGCTCACATCCCACTAGATCATTACATGATGCCACATCTTTCTTGGGGACAAAACCTTCCCCTCACCTCAGAGACACTTCACATGTGGACCACGAGCAGTTTGCTCCCTTTCAAACATTGTGTCGAGTCCTCCCTTTGCACTCCTAGAAGCAGGTTTAGGTGAGATTCTCCTCCTCCTGCTCTAGTTCTGTACTGTGAGTGCATGTGCACAGAGCCACTCAGGGATGTATTAATACAAAAATGTTTTGACAGCTGTATTTTAAGAAGATTTCATCTCACTGGAATCCACTCCTGCCATTTTGTAGCCCAGCAAGATAATGCCTTCATTTATTTTTTATAAGAGCAATTTAAATAAAACCTTTGATGCACTGCTGAGATAAAAAAAAATGGTATCTTTCAGCTCTGCCTGTTGATAGTGGCACTCAGAAGTGGTTAGACAAGAAATGGAGCACTTGGAAAACATCCATTCTGCTTCAAGGAAATCTCACCAGACCAACACTGCTCTTTTCTGGGTGCTTCCCAGGGCTCTCGAGCTGACAGCTCATTTCAGGCCACAGACACTGGTTTTTTGGAAGTTCCCTTCTCTTCGTTAGCTGCCATGCCATGTTTTTAACAAAAGTGGGTTTAAGCATTGGCCCACAGACTCTGTGAGAGGATCTGTGGCTGTTAAAGCCTTCAGGTAAAGAGGCATGAATTATTGCCAAGCTAATTCCATGACTTGAAGAGCACAGAAGGTGGGACAGGCAGTCCCAGCCAGGCCAGTCCTGTAGGAGAGGCCTATGCTGGAGTTTGCAGGAATGACCAGGGGACTAGGAGGGACATTCTTTGCCATGTACTGCTACACTCTGCCAGAACAAAACACTTGCAGAGACCTAATCGCAGTGACAGTTTAGCCAGAAGGGCTGTTAGATCTGAGCTGCTTATTTTGGTGCTGTAACTGAGCTAGAGGGAGTTCTGAGGACAAATCTCTGTTGGAAAGTTTCTGGTAGAACATAACCTGTATCTCATTTCCAAACTGAACTGGCTGAGCTGCATCTCCTGCCCGTTGGATTAAGTGTTTGCCTCTCACCTCCAGACAGGTTCTGAGTTTTGCTCTCAAATTGCCCCATCCTCACCTCAAGTTGGAGTGTTTCTGTAGCTGCTTACAGACAGTGCTTGGGTTGACCCATCCTTTTTTGCAGAACAAATAACCCAAGTGCTTTGATACTTCTGCTGCAGAGTACAATCTGTCCCGCTCTGGTCATTTGCATGACCCTAAACCTCCCCTAATTTTTCAACACTTCATAAAACATCCATACCCAGAGTGGGAACAGTAATTAGGAGTAATTACAAGACCAGGTACCAAGATGTTTCTTTCTTGCCCCTACTTAGTATGCTCAGGGTAACAACCAACATTCGTATTAGCCATGTTCAACACCTGCTGTTAATGACCTGCTAGCAGGGAGCAGCTGCCCCAGGGATGGGGTGGCAATAACACCTCCCAGGGGGCAGAACTGTCGCTGCTCGCTTCTCACGGCCTGGAGGGAAGACTCACACAATCAATATGATTGATAAAAGAGCTTCATTTATTGTTAGATTTGCTAAACTTTTTATGTATTTCTTGTTAGTATTCACGAATGTCGCTATTCTATTGGTTAGTACTTAGAATTTGTTACACTCTAATAGGTTGAGCTTCAAGGGTTACATCAGCACCTGGTTCCTTCTTATGCTGATTTTGCTTCCTCTTCTAATCCTCCATATCCTGTTGTTGTGACTTGCTGCTCCAAGGGCACAGTGTCCTTGCTTGCCAGGCCTAGTAAGATGGCGTCAGGCCATAGCATAACTCTCTCATGTCAATGTGTCCTTGTTCTTCTAGCCATTCTTCCACAATTCTCCGTTTTTCCTTTTGTACAATAAAAGCCTGTTGTGTCATTTTTAACACTGCTTTCATGAGACATCCGTACACGATTCGTAAGAGCACAATCAATAGCAGTAGGATTCCTATAATTCTTATACCTTCCTTTATGAGGGACACCATCCACCCAGATAGTCCCCCAAATATTCCGTTTAACCATTTTCCGAATGGGTCATCTGTAACACTTATTTTTTGTGTATGTTCCCTCAACCATTGCAACTGTGCATGTATGGATGTCCCGTGATTGCTTAGGTTAAAACAACACATACTTTCAAACTCTTCACACCCATGACCTTGTGCTAAAAGTAAAAAATCTATAGCAGCACGATTTTGTAAGACAGCATGTCGCAAGCTAGCCATATCTCGTGCCATTTCTGTTAGAATTTCAGTAGTAACATTTGCTTGTTTAACTGCCCAGCAGGCAAGTTTGCCTAATTGATTAAGAGTGTTGGCTGTGCCGATACCTGGTATTAGGGAGGCAAAGAATCGTGAGGTGGCTGCCCATAATTCTACATTGTCATCACAGTCAGCTTTTAACTGATGGATGTTCCTTCTCTGGCGATGACGATTGTTCTGGGCAAGGTTTGCTAAATCTCTGTGGTGAACGGATAGTAATGTTAACTTTCCCAGATAACAGGGTCCTCCAAATGCATTTTTTGGGATGCCTGCCCATGCTCGATCACCACAAATTAAAAAATAACCGCGGGCTAAAGCTTTTGCCGTGTTATTAATCCATATGGTATGATTTTCTCTGCGTTGATTATAGCCATAAGCTCCTAACATTTTTCTACTATTTACATATCCACAAAACCCGTTTGCCACTTGAAAGTCGTTATGGTGTGGAGAAACCACTGTCCACCCTGATGTATTAACATAGGGGTTATCCTTTTCATTTTCAATTCTTAGGTCTAAATTGCTAAGCATCTTTCCCGAACCAGCGGCTAAAGTCGCAGCTGTATCTATTTTCCCAAGAAAAATGCACGTTTGAGTAGTATTTCCTGTTGCATTTCCAATGGTTTTGGATCCTAAAAGTTCAATTTCTTGGGGATCCCAAGGTAGTGTGTGGTTTAAACTATTTAATATTTGTGCCGAACAGTTGGCAATGGAGGTTGTTCCTGAACAGTTCGAATTGGTGGCAAATAGAGAAAAATCATGATCGTTTAAATACGGAAATCCTATCAGGCAGGTTTTATATGGTTCAGTGACTGCAGCAAGGCTCAAACAAAAGTCTGTTTGATTAGTTTTGTTCACCCATGCAACCCATATGTTTTGGCGCTTATCGACGTTTGTTATCGCTTTTGTTGCAGCGATAAGTATAACGGCGACAGTAACGATCCCATTCCTTGGGATCGACCTGATATGTCTGTGGTATCCCAATTCTCTTTTTGCACACGGTTTTAAGAAGGCGTGTGCCATTTTGAGTGATAACTCTTTTGAGTTTCGTGGACAAATTGCCACGCAAGATGTAAATTTTCCCTAGCCCCTAGGTCCTCGACAGGAGGATGCCTTGGTAGGCTGGCAGACCTGTGTATTGTCGGAGATCGCTTTGCCAGGTATGCCAGTTCCAGCTGTGTTCACAATTTGCGCACCATAGATGACGCAGTGTTCCCTGAAATAACCACCATCATTTTCTACACCCCCCACAGTAAAGTTTGATCCACGCTTGACAGTTAGATAAACGACAGTTGGCACAACCATAGCTATAAAATACGCATTCGACTGTTGTAATCAAAATATTAGGTTAACGAGTTCCGTTTTAGTTGTTATGGAATGATGCTGTCCCAATGCTAGGGTCAGTTCCTGCAGTGGCTTCTGGATTAACCGCAGGAGGCGATGTAGGTCTCTGCTTTCCGGTGTCATTCACGGCTTTAGTCCATTGACTGGGGACCCAAAGTGGACCTGTTGGAGTAAGCACACACATATGACCTCGACCTAAATACTGTACTTTGGCGGGTCCTGACCAAATGCCCGTCTTGGGGTCCTTGTATAATTGCCGAGTCTATGGGGAGGTCAGTAATGCGTCGTACTACGCATCACGAAGATAACATATCGAAAATTTTTTTAATAGTTTCCAGTTGAAGCATAGTGGGGTGGATTCTTGGGGTTGGGTCTGTTCCTCGGAAAAGAGGACTGAGAATGGCGATAAGGTCTGTTGGGATGCCTACTACTGGGCAGAGCCACTGTAAGTCCCCTAGAAGGCCTGTGCGTCATGGAGTGTCCCTAGTTGTGCCTCTAGGGTGGTCTTTTGTGGCCTGATAGTACAGTCAATAATCCATCCAAGGTATTGGTAAGGTGTTGTGTGTTGTATTTTTTCGGGTGCTATTTGTAAGCCAGCTTGGGAAAGTTGTTGTAGGATAAGATGTTGTTGTTGTGTGGTCCATGGTTTCTTTTGAGCGAACAAAATATCATCCATGTAATGATATATAAGTGTCTCTGGCCATTGTTGTCGTATCGGAAAAAGGGCTGCATCCACGTAGAGCTGGCAAAGTGTTGGAGAATTGCGCATGCCTTGAGGTAAAACTGTCCATTCAAAACGTTGTGCCGGTCTTTCCTTGTTAATCGCTGGTAGTGTGAAGGTGAAACGTTGGGTGTCTGCTGGGTGCAAGGGAATGGAGAAAAAACAGTCTTTGAGGTCGATAATGGGGAGACGCCATCCTT